ACTGCCGCTATCTGAAGCTTGGTTGCTAGGTTACTAGCTGGGTGTTCTCCGATAAGGGGCCGGCGGAAACAAAGTTAGTGATTACTGGTTCCATGTTGATTTATTTCAATACAAATTGTTGGGGGGAACTGAAAGGCTATTACCGTACTGGTTACTTTGCAGCCCGGACATTTCCCCCAAAACACATTTAGACGCTATCGCAACACAGAAGTACCTTTCAAATCCGATCATTTTTAAGACCTTCTAAATCATATTTAAGACCTTTCTTATTTTTTTGGTCATATTTAAGACCTTTTTAAGGCGTTAAATTCAGATTATCAAATTTAAGACTTTTTAAGACCCCGCGGGAACCCTGTACATATCTACTTTTTGGGGGCATCTGACACAATTGAAAAGAAAACAGTTGTAAAGATAATATATTAGTCTCATCACATGCGGAAAATATTGTAATTGATTAGAAATAACTCATCCCTCCCATTTATACCGTATAGTGTTACACTCATTATTCATTGTATATTGCATTTGAGGGATCTATCAGTTTTGATCAGTGAGCAAAGCGCTTGGTTCCAAACTACATTTTAATGTCATTTTATCTAATTTCATGTACGGCGTAAACTAGGGCTGTGTCAGAGGAGAAAAAAAAAGATCAACATGTTAACACCTGTAGAGAACATCAGAGGTAAAAGGTTTATTCTGTGATGGCCGTTTTCCTTTTACCTTGAAAAAGTGGTCAGAACAGAAGCAATGGAGCCTGCTGAGGTTTTAATTGCATTACTTTTTTAATGAGCCCAGATAAGGTCTCTCACACATCATTACTTACACCCTAGCTACAGCTCAACTTAATGTTTATTATCGTGTCTCTGAGCAATGCTGCACGATCATCACCCTCTGGTGTGGCAAAGGTGTTTGGTGGAGGCTTTTTTGGAGTTTGATTTACGCGGCTGTTAATAGCTGAGAGGATCACATGAGGATTAGTGCATCGTGATTATCAGGTATCCGATATTCAGAGTTAAGCTGTGGGCATTTCTAATTGCTATGTTAAATGGTGGTGTTTTCTTTTAAATAAACCAGTGGGCTAGTTTTTACACTCAAACTTTCTGTATCTTTGTTAGATATATCTTAAACTCTTACTTTATATGTGGCGTACCGTACCCTAACCAGAAGGGGGAGGAATGTATGAGGTGAATAATTAACAGACTTAAAAATGCTAGACTGATTTAGGAGAAAAAAAAGATAACATGGTATATGATAAATGGACTACTTTAACAAAAACATGCTTTACAATTGGCCTCTCAATCACCCATTCACACACACATACACATCAATGGTGACCGAGCGGCTATGCAAAGTACTGGTGTAGCCAAAAGAAACCAGCCACAATTTTTCTTACCAATGAAAAATTGTTGAAATAAATCTTTACAACGGATACTATTTTAATATTTTTATTTTTTTTATAGAACTGCTTTTAAGGAGACTGTGCAAACCAAGTTTCCTCTACTGGAGCGAAACATGTTATTTTACGTTCCGGAGAGTAATTTCTACTGTGGAGATCGAACATTTTCCCACTTGAGCAGTGGATTGAAGATGTTGAACAGATTTAAATTGAGAAGTATATAAACATGTGTGGCGAATGGGGCAAAACATCTCTTGCAGGCCCACTTTCAATCTGACATGCATGCATCTTGTTGATCTCTGCCACTTCATTCCTCAGCTTTTTGCATTGAAGAATAACTCAAAGAATTCAATTTGGGAGCTGAATCTTGAAATGTTCGAGTAAGTGTAGATATGTTGGCCCTGTGAGGGTTCTTCGATCATGCCTTTTTAACAGAGTTGAAAAGCAGTGAAAACCCATGGATCACAGCATGTATACTGAATAGAGCGTGTGGAGTTGTTTACTATCTACTCATCAAGGCGAGGGGTAAATTGCTTGCATGCAGCCTATTTTTTTCTCCACTTTGCTGCACATGACAGGAATCAATAGCCAGATTGCTGGTTCTCTAAATCTCTGTCATTCCTTTTTTCTTCCAATCACTTTGCGGTGTATACCCCTTGATGCCATGTTTGAGTCATAAATCAACACCATGGCAAAGTGGGAGGATTGGGAGTGTATGTGTGCATGTACTGTATGTCCCTGTGTAGCGAGTACGTGCACATGCATAAATGTTTGTGGATCTGCGTAAGAGAGACCACAGTTGGGTATTACCACATATCAGTGTATATTACCACTTCTCCGAGTGGGTGTCTGAATGTTTCATCTAATCATTAAACGCTGACAGGCTTCACAGAGTAGCGCCACTGATCCCCGTCAGAGGAATACGGGGCCTGACTTCATTAGCCCTGTTAGTGCTAAGCTGCTTTACCCTCACTCACGCCTGGCTTAACCTGCACAGTGATAAATGCTGAGAGGAGAAGAAAAGATCGGCAGAGGAAAAGAGGGGTGAGACAAAAGGGAAATAGGGACAAAGGCTTTTAAAGAGAGAGGCGAAGGTGCCAATGTCAGGTACAGAGGATGAGGAAGTGAGAGATGTGAGGGGAATGGGAGGGCACAGAGCGTGTGAACCTGGAGTTTTCAGAGGCAGCGGAGGGGGATGAAGCTCAAAGTGATGTTTGAACTGAGAGGGATTTACAAATGCAAAAACGAGCCAAACAATCAATTAACTTGTGTTGCAATGAATCAATTATTACGCTGGCATATTGACAGCCAAAGTGCTTAACTGAGATTCCATCGTGACGCTCCTATGTGTCGAAGACTTAGCATTGACCTCTGTGCACACATATGCATCCACACTCATGCCCAAGCTTATTCATGCTTGGGCATATCAATCTTAGCACATAGAGATATGCACACACATCTTTGTCCTCAGCGTATTTCTCCAGTACATCCATCCGGTTTCCCTCCTACAAGCACCCCTCCCCCCACCTCCTCTCAACCCTCAGTCTTTTTCTCCTGCCAGCAGAGGTTTTTGGCTGGCTTAAGTACGCCCACAGGCCCCTGAGGGACAGCCCATGACGGATGGCACTGCGTGTGACTCGGATTCGATTCAGCCCATTTGATAAATTTATAGCTGGCATTTTGAAAATGAAATTAGAGAGACGTCTCCTGGAGACTGTTTTTCCAGCACAGGTGCCATAAATATACTTCATTTGGCAGAGGAGAGGGAGGAGGACTGAAAATGGGTGGAGTGGTGTTGGATAGAGGATGTCATGGTAGGGGGGCGGATAGTGGTGATGTTCCAAAAGTGGAGAACCAAAGAATAAGGTCACACTATAATGAGGTCCTGATTTAATCACGATATTGGGGATGAACATAATTAAAGGTTATACAACCACGGCGTGAAACTTGGACCTATTACTATGTGCTGGCCTTCACACTAACACATGTACTGTAGCATTGTACATATTAAACAGATGGGAGACCCCCCCCCATCTTTCATGTGGAATATGCACACACACTATTAACGTCTTTTAAGAGACAAAATGAATGCTTTATGTACACAGCATTTGCCTCAAGGCCTCATGGCTCTTCGGTACGAATAGTACTGTCACGGCAGCAACACCATCTATAACTCACAGTGTATGAATGAATATGGCAGGATATTTATCCTCGTGGCCCTCTCATTGTGCGGGACAGAGAGACAGTGCATGTTTTTTGTTGATGCTCTTGACTAAACAGATTTGAATTAGACATATTGGATGGTCAAGAAAATAAAGACACACAATAGCAGACATGGACCCGCACGGGCTAAGAGAGTGAGCATTCATTCACTGTCGGGGGTGTGCGGCATTATTTATCTCCCTCTCTTTCAGGAGCGTATGCGGAGCGGCTGTGGAGCAGCTGTGGAGGGATGATGTACGCCACGCCAGCCCCTGCTCCCCTTCAACATTTATCAGAGAATGAGGCTGGGGCGACCCACATCACTTACCTTTATAGGCCCACCTGACAGCATGGTACACCTCATTGTCATCACATACACAGACCTCTCAACGGTGTGTGTGTGTGTGTGTGTGTGTGTGTGTGTGTGTGTGTGTGTGTGTGTGTGTGTGTGTGTGTGTGTGTGTGTGTGTGTATATATATACTAAGTGTAACCTGTCACACAGAAGTACTATATCATCTGTGCATGATATCTGAAAGCAGCTTTAACACATCTGAAGCTTTGAAAGGTGTTCAAATGTCACCATGTTCCCAACTAAATACTCCTGCTGTTTAGGTTTTTAAATATGCATGTTACGCGCTTTATATCAGATCCAGGTGACAATGAAATTATTCTCACCTGCATTGTTCTGCTCTGGTGTGAGCTCGTATAAAACAACACCTATGTTCGTAAAGCACAGCAGGGAACCAAAGAAGTTTCAACAAAGTCAGCGGGGGATTCTCCTGAGTGATTGTTTGCTCCTGCTTTGCATTCACAGAGCGAGATACACCCTCCAACATTACTGTACCTCCACTATTAAGAGTAGAGGGCTGGGACTGCTCCGTGCACACACCTGCAGGCTGTCGCTCAGAACTACACCCCTGGAGCTGTTCAGGCAGTTTGACTGCATGGCCCCAGTGTCTAACAAAATCAAAACAGCCTACAGGTACGTTCCTACAAACATCTGCCCCCCTCCTCTCTCCCTGAAGATCCACCGTGCCGAACAATCACCTCCCCCAACCTCACATTAGCATACACGTGAAAGTGTGGAGGAGTTTAAACAGAACTGTGATTAGTCTAAACATAAGATTTACAGAAAGCAGTAGAGAACACAGGCTGAGGGCTCTCTGTCATAGCGGGATAATGTAGTGTCAGTGGGTGTGAGTGATTGACTTTGTAATCAAACAGATTGTTCTGCAGCAGAAACGATTGAATTTCAAATCAACGTCAACAGCACCATCAAATGTTTTTCATCTCATTAGCAATAACAAATAAGAACGAACACGGAAAGACGGAGCAACACAGACGCGCACAACACTTCTGAAAATGCATGGGGATCAACAGGTGACTGATTGAGGGCTGTCTTACCTTTTTGTGATGACACGGCGGTATCTGTAGATGAAAGAGAGGAGACACACAGAGGAATGTGTTAGTAGCTGACAGGACAATTCAAGAGATGACAGTCACGGCGGTGATTTGCTGCGAGAGGGGGCGAGCCACCGAAGAGGATAAACAGATAAGGTGGACGGGGGGGGCTTTAATCTCAGATCTGCAAAAGGAATATCCACTTTACACTCATGCATGCTTGAGTAATACACACAGCAGCTTTTTCCCCTCCACAAAGACAGACCAGGTGGAGGAAAAGAAAGCATCTGAGCAAACACATTGCAGAGAGCCCTCAAGTAGAAAGATGAGAGTCTCCAGACCCCTGGAAACCCTTGAACTCGTGCACAATTTATCCTGAGTGAGCTTTCTAATAAGTAAAGAGAATGCCTTTGAGGTGCAGTGAGACACAGCAAATCAAATCCTTTCAGTAAGCATTTTAGGTTCTTACTCAGAGCCCACTAGAGACACTCCTGGCCCACAAGGCGTGGATCAAAACATGGAGTGCTTGGAGGGAAGGATGTACTGCAACACTTCTTTTTTATGCAGCACTAAACATTCACCAAAAAAAACATGTTTTGGAGGCGTATTTGTGGAGAAAAATGCAGTAAATGTAGCTTATTCATTTCATCAAATATTTACCAGGAAAGTGTTTGAAAGCTCCCAAGGTTGTTTTTTTATTTAATAGACTTGTCAAACTTGCAGCGATGCAAGAATAAAGAAAAGCAGTAGAACACAAATGTAGTTTCATTAGTTGAAATTCTTGAGAACATTTTTCTACTGGCCATCTGCCCAAATGGCTACAGACATGGGAGGGGAATAATTGAATCCGGATGGATTTGTGGTGTGCTGGGCTGAGGAAATGATAATCCAAAGCTCTGCCTAATTGCCAGAGTAAAGATGGCGCCCATTGTGGGGGTGGCTCTGGTGTTTATCAAGGCAGCGTGGCGTGGAATTGGACTTAGCATTAGGGCTTTACACACATTGTTTTGTGAGGTGTTACAGTGGATTTGAGCAAATATTGGCCCTCTGGTTATTACATGGTCTGATTGTCTGCTATGCGACTGTCCATAAGCTTTGCATGTCTAGCCTAATCTGAGAGGAGGCTTCAAATAATTAGTTAGTGAAGCACTCTCACAGCCCAGCGCAGCCAACTTTATCTTTTAAAGCAAATCCTTGGTCCATTCGCTCCTCACCCAAAAGGCTTACACTCTCACCACTGTCCAAACCTTCAGGGTAAGACCATAACATATGACCCATTACAATCACTAGTCCATATCCTATTCTTCTTGTTGTTTGTTATGTTAAAGAAACGCTACAGTATGTCAAACACACATTATTTTGGGCAAGTGCTAGTAGTGCGAGAAGACTGTCAAGGTGTAAAAAGCGAACAAGATTAAGCAGATATTATGAAACTGTAATTTTCAATTAGTCATTTATTCTAAACAAATCACATAAATGGAGCAGTGAAACTACTACAAGGAAAACTAAACATGTGAGTGCTTTGAACTTAAAGGAGAGGTGTCATGGCCATTTCCACTGATCATAATTCCATTGTTGAGGTGTACTAGAATAGATTTATACTGTGCATTTTTCCAAACTCACATTGGTTTCTCATACAGCATCTCTGTAAACTACTTGTATTCACTGAATTTCACTATCTGCCTTTAACGGCTCGTTGTAGCTCCCAAAGCTCCAGCCCCCACCCTCCCTGTGAGCACAGTGTGCTCTGATTGGTCGGGACGTTGTGAATCGCACTGAGCTCCGTGGAGGTGTTGTTTCCTTGTTTAGGATACATCGCGAAACACAGCCAAATTCATCCTGAGCACACACAAACTCACATCAGAAGTAAAAACAATAAGTGTGGCTTGATATTGAGTAAGAAAAAGGTTGATAAACGCTGTGAGAATGGGTCTGCAGAGAGAATTTTGCCGCGATCCCAACGGTCTGTTATCAGCCTGCAGCCAGGGAGGAGAAATCAGCTGAGCTGCCTGCTCCCTGCACACAGATGTGTGAGTGAGGAAGTCCGTGGATCGGTCAATTTGGACCAATCAGCGGGGGCTTAACGTAACGGCTCCGCGGACGTAACGTAACGGCTCTTCGGGATTGGTCCATTTCGTTCCGGGTACCGCTTGACATCATGCCGTACCCGGAACGAAATGGAAGACTCAAATGGGCAGTGACGTATCTCCAACGAGGCGTTTTGGGGAGGTATTTTCTGTGTTAGAGTTTTACTCGCTACAGGGTGTACTTTGAGGGTTTTGACTCTGCACACCGTTTACATGCATAAAAACCTTCATAACACACAAGGGGACGGGTAATAACCGGAAAAGCATGACACCTCTCCTTTAAGCATTTGTACACTAACTAATTTTTTAAAAAGTACTTAAGGAGAAGATGTGTTACAGATAATCAACTTTCAATAACATATACTTGTTAACATTGTCTTTGTATTGATCTGCTGAAATGTAGATATAACAGTATAAAGTCAGCAAAGCTTATCAGTCAAACATACCCGGATATAGTCCAAGTCTAAATTCTGAAATGTAAACATTGTTTCATGTCTGTGATTAAACGTAATCAGAATGAATATGTAACACTATTGCATAATCCCATTGGATACATCAATGTAGTTGAAGATAAAGAGCTTGTAAAGAGCTCACATGAAAACACAAGTCTGAGTGACTGAGACAGCAGCAGTGACAGGTAACATGAATCATGTCGTCAAAACAGGCTTTTCATTTACTCAAGCACCGCTCATCATTTACACACACTTAAATAAGGACTTTTGAAGCACATTAGGAGATCAGAAAAAAAACTGCTGCTTTAGTAATTTAGTTGAAGTCATTTCAAATTGTACTCTTGGGTAACAGTATATTAATACATTAAATAAATAAAGATAACAAAGTTATAGTAAAAGGTATAATCCAAATTATGAAATATGAAATTGTCCATACACACAACATTTAAGGGGGGTGTCACGTTTTCCCTGTGCACACTGGTTTATATATTGTGGACCTGTTATGACAATGAAAAAAAAAATGAACCCATGCTAAATCCTGGTGATAATACTTCATCAAAAAATAAGGCTGTTTTTCCTCAGGCTGTGTCAGAGCAGAGACACCATGCAGCTTGGTGTCGGCACACTTCGCGGTTTAGGACGGTAAAGAAAACCTCCGTCATTGATTACTGCATTCGTTCCCAGCTATCGGTGGCTTATATGGATTTGGAGACTCATTTGCAGTGAATATGTGAGCAGTGTTTTGATGTGCCCGTGCACAGCAACAGTCCTCTGGGTTTGAGTATTAGGGTATTAGGTAAAGTAGGCCGTATGTCAATAGAGGTTTCCCATTGCGATGCATGTATGCAAGCCTGACAAAGTTAAGAGTGCCCAAAAGCATGCCTGAGGAAACTAAAATCTACATTTTGAAGACACATCTACATAATAAGGAAATAAACATCTCCAAACTGCTTTGCTTTACCTATCAGAGTTTTTACATTTCAGGAGTTTAGCCTATCACTGTCAAACATGATGAAAGAAAGAGGTACGAAAAAGAGAGCGATGGGGAGGAAGACTGAGACAATTATATATGAAAGTAAACATGTCACCTCTTACTATTAGACTTTAATGTAATGTGAGGTTTATAGTTTGCATGGAAACGAGGAAAACATAGACTAAAGCACATATGAAGGATCTCAACAGCTTAACAACTATGGTTACAGATTACTCATGTTGACTAAAATATGTAACATCAATACGCATTAAAATGAAATATAATCTGCTAATTATTATCCAATACATTTAAAGCCAATAAACAGAATGAAATTATATCCTTTATTTACTGTATTACCACTGAAGCAGATCCAGGAACTCCACACAGAAACACCAAACCTCTGAGTTAGATGAAGGGTAAAAAAACAAAAAACAATGCTGGCGACACAAAAAACAAACCAACAAAACTAAATACATGAACACTGAACTATGATAAAACGATTGCTGCAGACCTTGTTTTTGTAAAATATTTGTTTGTGGTTGAAGATGTGTCATGTAACTCAGCATACTCGAACACTAGTGAAATTAACTCAGTGTGGTTCCTGTGGTTGCAATGGACATGCCAAGTGGCAAGCTAAAACATTTGAACCACTGCAACGTGCTATCCTTTCTCTTTCTTCTAGCTACCAAATCCTGCCTCAGCGGGAGGATACTGGAGGCAGCAGTCATTACTACCGGCTACTTGAAGGAACCATTACCTCTCTCTCAGACCATCATCAGTTGCGTTGTTATACTGTTGTGTTCTTGCATAACAAATAACACAAAAGTTTCCAAACTTTGCAAAAAGTGCCAAGTAGGAAAAACTGACAAACATATTGTACCACAGATTATTGTCAGCATCAGTTTGTTGTCAGCACTTTTCTGCACAGTTTGGCACATGTTGTGCCATCTGTCACGTGTGAGCATCAAAATATAGAACACAATATGCAAGGAAAACTTCAACTTGATTGAGAATGCTTCCTCTCTTTTGTGACCAATGAGCTGCTTCTTTCTAGCCTTACCGCACGTCTAAATGAAGGATTGGCACACCTGCACGAGACTGGATTGAAGTACATATTGTGTGATGGATCCAACTTCAGTTAATGATGAGAGTGAGAAAAACTAAACTAAAAAGGTACATATATCTTAGATTTATTCTTTCAACCTTGCATACTGTCAAAACACTGTTACACTGAGGACAGCTGGATTACACACACATTGTGGTGAGCAGCTCTTTTATACGGGTTGCATTATTAATACAGTAAAACCCTTGAAAATCCCCGTTTGGGGATTAAGCAAAACAGTTTATTATCTGATTGCTGCTCTGCATTGCTAAAGTTTATACAGTCGATGTTCAGAGTTACTTCATGCTCTTGGGTCATTCAACTCAGCACACAGAAGATAATATGAACACAGAAAGAAGTATAATTTATAATTAGCATTAAAAAATCCCACTTAAACCAAGGTTTTATAGACA